TTCTTCAGTGTAAATGTTTTATGATTTGACAGGAATGAAAATTATTTTTACCTTATTTAAATCTGCTGGCGATTAATAAGGGTACCTCTCAAACTTCTTCAAAGAAATACATTATCACGATAGATATACAGTGAGGCACTTCGTCTGAACCGAAAAACTGTAAACACTCGGCACCGGGTATCACTACACAATACACACACTGTTATAGGTAGAAAGTCTTGCTATGTTGTCGATTTCTGGTCTCTTCAGGAATTGATCTTTGGCAGTAATAAGGTCTTGCAATCATTTTTATCGTATTCAAACTGATGATCACTTTTATCAACCGCTAAACGTCAAAGCCTAACACCAACTGCCTGTAAACATCGCACCTACTTGATTATTGTTGTGAATATTCCTATAGTCCGGTAGCGTTTGGACTATAGAATATAGAAATTCTGAATCTATTCGAAAGTGTTGATTTTCACGCGTAAAGAGGGACAATTCTATTTGGCGTGATCCAATATTGGATGAAGCGATAGTCATGAAGCCGAAAATGGCACGTTTTTGACGTTCCGCTCGCACGCGCTCGCTTTCGTAATACGATCATATCTACAATACCCCGCCTAACAGGAATCGCGGATCTGGAGCGGAAATTCAAAATGGAAACTTCAAACTAAAAATATCTGCATATCTTTGAATTTTCTAATCTGCCGAGTTTAAAAAATGCGATCGGGTAACGTGTAGTATGTCGGTTTAATCAGGAGACTTTGGTCTGTCGTTTTGCGAAAAAAAATCGTAGCCATGTCGCTCCGTAACGCAGGTCCGTATCGACGAAGGCAAAGCACGCCGAAAAACGGTTGTCATCGGTACTCAAAGTTTACTTTTTCGAAATTTGACGGTAATTCTAACGGTCAGAATCGTTTCGTCAGCTCATTATCGTTATTTTTCGATAGCTGTATAATTTTTACTCGCTCACGTACGGTAGTAATAGGCGAAGACAGAGCCGGATGACAAAATGACTTTTTCGCGCGTCGAAATGTAGCGTATTGTCGAGAGTCCGAAGTATGGGCTTTCTCGTGCAAAAGTCGCCAGGTCCGTATCTTCGTTATCGTCGGAGTAGATGTCTGATGGACGGCGAAGCAGCGCGCTTTATACGCAAAAAAGTCTTCTTGACGACGTTCGAGGTTCGTTTATTCGAAACGGGTACCGTAAACGAAAAAACGTCTCTCCACGTAATTTGTAGCGCTTGCCGAGATGTACGAAACGCGGCGCGAAATTCTTTTTCTCTTCGGCATAAGGGAGATATCGTAGTTTTCCAGGCGATTCGTCGTTTTTGTCGCTTTTTCTTCGAACATTTCTAGAAAAAAAACCGAGGCGCGGAACCGAACAGATTCAGCCGATTGGGATGTATTTCTCGTTTAGCTATCGAACGAGACCGATCTTGAGTCGATATTTCGATAAACGGCGAAACGAGTGTGAAATAACGCCGCGTACCGCGCGAAAAACGGTCGATTTTTCGACTTTCGATCCGATCCGTTCCTCTCACCGCGACGGCTCTCGCCCGCCCGTAAAGCGCGGAGTTTCTACTTTCCGAAAAGGTACCTCTTTCCTTTCGAACGTTTCGCGAAACGGAAAAAAACCGGAAAAACCACCAGATACCAGACACCAGACACCAGACACCAGACACCAGATACCAGACACCAGATACCAGACACCAGACACCAGACACCAGATACCATATACCAGATACCAGATACCAGACACCAGACACCAGATACCAGATACCAGATACCAGATACCTGATACCTGATACCAGACACCAGATACCAAACACCAGACATCAGACACCAAACACCAGATACCAGATACCAGATACCAGACACCAGACAACAGACACCAGACACCAGACACCAGATACCAGACACCAGATACCAGACACCAGATCCCAGACACCAGACACCAGATACCAGATACCACACACCAGATACCAGATACCAGACACCAGATATCAGATACCAGACACCAGATACCAGATAAAGAGATAACAGGTACCAAATACCAGATTCCAGATACCAGATACCAGACACCAGACACCAGACACCAGACACCAGACACGAGATACCAGATACCAGATACCAGACACCAGACACCAGACACCAGACACCAGATACCAGATACCAGACATCAGATACCAGATACCAGGCACCGGATACCAGATACCAGATATCAGACACCAGATACCAGATACCAGATACCAGACACCGGATACCAGATACCAGATACCAGATACCAGACACCAGACACCAGATACCAGATACCAAATACCAGATACCAGATACCAGATACCTGATACCAGATACCAGATACCTGATACCAGATACCAGATAAAGAGATAACAGATACCAAATACCAGATACCAGATACCAGACAGCAGACACCAGATACCAGATACCAGACACCAGACACCAGATACCAGATACCAGACATCAGATACCAGACACCGGATACCAGATACCAGATACCAGATACCAGACACCAGACACCAGATACCAAATACCAGATACCAGATACCAGATACCTGATACCAGATACCAGATACCAGATCAAAGATGCCAAAGGATAAAAAATGATTAGAGATAGGGATAAAGTTATCGCTAGCATTGCATTAGCATACCAGCAACTGCACTACGTGAGGTTTTAAATAAAGACATCAACGTGCAATATTTTGCATAGCGTTAGCGTGCCAGCAACTGCGCTAGTCTTTTATGAAGTGATGACAGCATTGCGTGGGACGTGCGCAGTCAAGCTGCTCGAATGCATTTTTTTAAAGGTAAATATATTTTATACTCGTAACTGTAGATTTTTCATAAGATTTTAAATTTTATCACTTCAAGAAGGCAATTAAATAATACTACTTGACATTACGAGGTAGTCCATTGTTCCAATATTAGTAGAGCCAAAACGAATTTCGAATAGTTAAAACTTTATCTGCCTTAAATTTACTAACACTAAAGGCATTTTTTTATGCTCCAACTACCACGAAGGCCTAAGGTTTAAACACCCATGGGGTACCGTGGGGCTATAGGGGAATACAGGGGAAAGGGGGAACGCCACACGGACTCTGGCGAGGGAACACGTGTGCATGCAGCATGCACACATTCTGGCTCCGCCTACGAGATCCGCCGGGTGGTACCTCTGCGTTCGACAGTCAGATACCGTCTACCACCTATGGACAATCACAACATCCACAGCCAAGAGAAGAATTTCTCTTGGGACGAATTTCTAACCCGCACAGGTCACTGCGACAGATCAGGAGACCAAGAGTCTACTACTGCGGCCACCGCTGATGGCTTGCTAATATTACCACAAAATTGAACTAACTCTTTCAAAGATTGAAACGCTAACAATAAGATTAGGCACTACTACACTATGCTTACATGTGCACTGAAATGTGTTTTGAATTTTGTTGCGGAAGTTGATGAAGTGCATACACGTGTATTTGAAAAGAGAGTTCACATGATCCGATTCATGCTGATAAGTAAAATAAGCTTTGAAAAACGAAAAATTAATAATGCATTCCTGGTGACAAAGATACGCTAACAAAATGTTGCTATTGGATGGCAATTTTTTATTTTGATTACCTTATGACCACGATTTGGATCGCGCGATTTCTTCTTCGTGCATTTTATCAACTACCACAATAAACTACAAATCACATATCAGAGCACACGTAACTAACATACTGCAATGAAAATCAGTGGAAAATTTGAAATGTTCAGTTTCATTTTGTGGTAGTAGTAGCAGAAAATGATTTTAGCTCTACCATAAATAGATCACTTTACAACAGTTATTGAGTTATTGAAAAAATATGTAGTTATAAATTATGTTTGCCATTGGAAAATTCGTCAAAGAGACTGAATCTGCACTTCTTATGCAACGCCGTCATCAGTTCATGAAGGTACATGTTCGGCACAAGTTAACCCCCCTCTGAGAAGAAATTTAGCGACGAACATGTATAACAAGAAATCAAATGGATTGAATCAGTCAAACAGGCTCACATAATTAAAATTTGCATACTTAGCATGCTTACCAAGGAATAAGATCGAAAACTTAAATTAAATGAGCATTAATAAGTTTCTATCTATTCACTGGTTGCAAAAATAGAGCAATTTTCCCCGTGAAGGGAAGAAAATTGATATTTTTCATAGGCGTAACCGTTGAGATTACCCTCTTCATTTTCAAACGTTGTGAGTGGTGTATCCCCCCTTTCCTATCGACTTTACTTACGCCATTCTAGCATCCCAACATGTACGCCTAGCAGTATCTATCCCCCTCCCCACGCCGTAGCTAGCCGGCAATTGAGCAGTTTCTCGCTTGTTCTTCAGTACCTTTAAGCCGGCAAGGAATTCCCTAGGTCAGGCCTATGGCAAGACCCGGAATATCAATTTTCTTCCCTTCAGGGGGAAAATAGTTCTATTCCGGCGCTGTGCCTAGGACCTGACCGTTGAGATCTGTTTATGTTCTGCCGGCTAGGCGGGCGTACTGTGAAAATAATTGTAGTCTATAAATCTCCGAATCGAGAAATCGTAAATCCGATTTTGAAATATTTATTAATGCTAGTTATCTAGGTTTTAAACATTTTGGCGTAAAATGCCAGTAAACTGAACATTCTGCCTGACTAGGTCATTGAACAAATGAATGGTAGGTAGGTAAGTAACATAAAATTAAATTTAATAGTCTTTCTAAAACCTATAACACAGCCAGATTATCAGTTTACTTCAAACAGGAATAAAGGAATTCAATATTGGTTCCACTCTTTCGACAACACCGCCTGGAGCTTTTTTGACTACTTTGTAGTAATACTTAAAAAGGTTACTAGATCCCTTCCAGTTTCCGTTCTTTAACACTTCGTCCAGAGGTAAACTGTCATTGAACCTTGATATAGCTACTGCTGATCTGGTACTGACTGCTGCATTTTCTATTCCAGCTGCCTATAGCGCTGTTCGAAACCAACCTGCTATGACCGACCGTGAAGCAGGTCCCGTTCGGCCTCGAGTTGTAACAAATAAAGACAGAATAAATGTGTCCTCACCTCTGAAACCTGGCTATAATTTGCTAAGCAGGACATCATGTCTCATAAGAGATCTGTGTTTTTCTTTAATTTCGAACCTGATTGTCTCTTGGTTGGACCATCTGTCTTTGAACCGTACTGAGGCCAAAAAGTTACTCCTCCTTTTGATTGTGCGAAATAGCCCTCATCTATTCGGAGAAGTGTAAGATCGTGGACCCTCCTTCCAGACGATAAAAGTAGAAGTATAGCGAAGTGTCTGGAAACCTGGAATAAGTTGTTGATGTCTGGTATCCACTCTAGAAGTTGATTGATGTCCCAAATTTTAGGCGAAGGTTTTGGTGGCTTTGAATTCGCAATCCCTTTGAGTATTTGTTTCAACAAAGGATTGATGTTGATTTCTTGTGCCTTGGATGGATTCGGAAATGTCGTAACCGTAGACTTGTGGACTAAAATTGTTGCATGAGCAAACTTCTTCGAGATGTGCAGATGACACAAATATTTGGCTAAGTCGATCGCTCTCGGATTATTGGTGAACACCTCCTTGCTTTTAGCCCATACACACCAGGTTTTCCATGCGGTCGAGTACGTTTTTAGGGTCGATTTTCGCCAAGACTCCTTTAATAACGTGGTCTCGCTATCAGACCGATTTTTGAGCATCGACGCGTGTTTTCCATGCCTCCAAATATAAGTTGTCGGCTCCCTGTGGCGGCCGGTTTGTTTGCAGATCCAGAAGATGTTCCTGCAGGTTCGCTATTATTAGGGGTGGGTCTGTAGCTCTTTTATTGAGGGCTGGTCGTCAAAAGGCATTCTCTCCCATCGTGGGACTATCAGCTCAAAGTCCCTCTTTTTGTTATTTTTGTGATTCTTTTTCCGAGATCTAGGATTTTCCGTGTGTTAAGCTTTTCCGGTCCTCTTTTTTTATTCAGACGTAGGTTAGAACCTGTGTGGATTCCGTTACTGATTTTTTCAAATTCACGGTGAAGCCCAATCTTGAAAGTGTGCTTAGAAACAGCTGTATTTGTTGTCTCAGGTTTGCTGCGTCTTGGTTTACTATCAGCAAGTCGTTCAAATAAACTAGAATGTGTATACCCTTTTGACGGAGCAGATTTGCTAGCCAGTTTGTAATTTTTGCGTAAATTTGCGGGGTTGAACTTAGTCCAAAGGGGAGCGCCGTCATAGCGCTGATCGTTTCCCGGAAATACAGGGTGTTCCTTAATGATATGCGAGTATTTAAGGGTGTGAATCTACATAAAAAAATAATGTTAGTTTGCTTTATAAACTATGGTCCAAAAATGTTTCCTTACAAAAACTCGAGGTGTTGAAATTTTAGAAAAAAAAATGGAAATTAATATTTTCAAAACCGCTTTAGATATTTCACTGATATTTAGTAAGTAGTGACAGTTAATAAAGCGGTTTTTTGCCAAGTAAAATTTATTTTTGAACTTCCAGTTCAATTTAAAACAAATGATCTTACTTGAGTTGATTTTCTTTGATGCGCCATATTTGAGTAAAAAAATAAAAACCGTTCTATTGTCTAACTTGCAAAATTATTATTAATTTATTTGGAAAAATTAAACACATTAGGGGTAATGAACAACAACAACTGACAACATAAACATAACATTAAAACCAACGAAATTATTACAAAAATTTTTGAAAACTTAGTACGCATGCTTCCGCCCTCCTTCTCATGAAATTGCGCACTCGTTGAAATATCCATGGAGTGTTTTTTATTCTATCACAAGCTTCAACTATTCTTTCTCTTAATTCCTCTTAGGGCTCACCGCGGCCAATCCAACGATTTGGATAAACAGTTTGTAAATAATTATGCACCGTTACACTGAAATGCGCTGGTGCACCATCATGCATGTACCACATATTGTTTCTTATTACTAACGGTATATCATCAAGCAGCAAAGGCAACTGCTGTTGAAAAAAATTGAGGTAAGTCTGTCCGTCAAGTCGTCCTGGCAAGAAGTATGGGCCAATAAAGTGGTTGCCAATAGTTCCTGCCCATACGTTAAACGAAAATTGGTGTTGGAAATGGGTTTCGGTTACGGCATAGGGATTTTCTTCTGCCCACAAATGATTATTGTGGACATTCTGAATGGCATTTCGAGAAAAATTAGCTTCGTCCGTGAACAGAGTCATTGATTCAAATTGCGGATTTTGTTTAATTTTTTGAAGATACCACTGACAAAAGGTCACACGCCTTGGAAAATCAATGGGAAGTAATGCCTGTACTCTTAAAATATGGTAAGTATATAACAAAAAATCCACCAAAATTCTCCAAATAATTTTATGGCAAATATTTAAGTGTCTAGCGATCTTCCTCGTACTCGTTTCAGGATGTTCTTCGACTTCGTGCAGCACTGCTTCCTCAATTTCAGGTGTTCTCACACTTAGAGGTCTACCTTCAGATGTTCCTTTTCAGACAGAACCAGTTTCAACAAGTCGACGACGAATATTAGAAAAGGTTCGACTATCTGGTAAAGCACGATCGGGATATCTCTGGTGATAAATCCGTTTTGCTTGCTCCCCATTACCGTCGGCAAGGCCATATACGTAATGCATTTCCGCCATTTCTGCATTTGAATAATTCACCATTATTAACCCAGATATGCCTAGCGTACAATTTATGGCACACCGTAAACAAGTCGCGACTTGCAACGACCTGTGCTTATTTTGACGCGGTAATAGCACATATGTATTCAGTAGGTAAGCCTTAGTAAATCGTAACGTGCGGTTGGGCGTTATCGTTGTATTGAGATTTTTTTGCGATTTTGTGAAGAAGTTTTTATTTTTTGTGACATGGCTGAATATGGAATACGATTTGCCAAGTAAGTAAATATATGGTCTTTACGTAAAAAAAAAAATGTTTTGATTGCTTCTACCAATAAAACACACATGCTTTTTTCCAGTTTTAATGCCAAATTACTTATGTTATTATTTCGGATTCACAATTGCGTCATTATATTTGAGTGTGCAAAATATTGTAGGCCAGGAAAATACATGCATGTTTCATTTTTAGGGGCTTTTATCTGGAGGAAGCCCTTGCTATGCTGAAGGATAATGAAGATGTAGTAGCAAATGTGGATAATATCACATTGATGCCTCCAATCAATGCTTGTGACATTCTCACAGACGAGGACTCCGGCGATGAGAATGTAATGTCAGCTGATAATCTACCGGGTACCATTGTCTGAATTGGCTAAAAAAATAAAAAATAAAAAGCCGTAGAAACGAAAAACGTACAAATGGGTGAAGGAGGATGTACCACAAGAAGTTCCAGGAAACTTCGAAAAAATTCTTGAACAAAATAATTCTTCTAAGACTCCGCTTGAATGGTTTTCACTTTTTTTTTGACGGCGAACTTATAACACGGATAACAACTGAAACAAGTAGATATGCCAGGCAAAAGAATCGCCAACAAGAGGTGCAAGAGCGTGAAATAAGGTCATTTATTGGAACACTAATATTGAGTGGTTATGTCTATGTACCACGTAGAAGAACGTAAAAGAGATGCTAATAATCAATTCGTCACAGAATCGCTTACACGAGATAAATTTGAGTATATTATGTCAAATTTCCATTTAGTGGATAACTACAATTTACAGCAAGGAGATAAGTTTGCAAAAGTTAGACCTTTATTTGCGAGCCTGAATCAAAAATTTATGGAACATGGAATTTTGGCAGAAATACATAGTGTAGATGAGGCAATGGTTCCTTATTTTGGGAGACACTCATGCAAACAGTTCATTCACGAAAAACCTATACGATACGGCTATAAATTATGGGTTGGCGCATCAAGACTAGGCCTTACTGGGTTGAACCTTACCAAGGGTCGTCAACCAACATTAGTAAGAATTATGCAGATATGGGGGTTGGTGCTGGTGTGGTATTAGAGTATTCTGATGCACTGAGGAGAAAACGGCCAAATGAAAAAGTTCATTTAGTTTTCGACACTTCTCTCCCCCTCATGGTAAAATTGACATAAAAAAATGTCTTTGCGACTGGTACTGCTAGAGAAAATCGTTTACAAGGCGTCCAATTCAGAGATTCTAAAATTATGAAAAGGGGAAAAAGAGGTAGTTACGATTACAAGAAAATTTCCGATACAAACATAATTGCAGTAAAATGGCATGACAATAATTTAGTAACACTCAGTTCAAATGCAACCAATTCGCTTTGTAAAGCGATACTCTCAAAAGTATAAAAAAGTATTCAGGTAAGAAACACAGTCTGCAATAAAATCAATGTTTTCAAAAATCATCCGGGATAAAAAGTGGTATTTTTCATTGATCAGCCACTGCATTGATATGGCTGTTCATAATTCCTGGCAACCTTATAGATCGCACCATCGTGCATGCCTAAACAAAATCGAGACTCGTCACTAAAGTGACCGTTGTCTGCACCACTCAAGGCGATTATGTCGGTGTTCTCGAGTTAAAGGGAGGACCCAGTGTGGCCGGTATGAAAACAAGCCAAAACTTCTCATTCGTCGGTAAACACTTCGCATGCCAATAGGTCTTCCGTGTTCTGCAAACCATTCATTTGCAATGGACCTGGTAGTGGAGAAACGGTCCCTTAAGGCCAATAATCTTAGGCGGCGATCTTCACGGTCTGTTGTTCTACGGCGGCGTCCAGTGCCCCTTGCTCTTTGCGTACGGCCTTCTCGAAGCCATGCCTGACAACACCTAACCACAGTGTCTACACTTCTTTGCACTCTAACTGCAATTGCCCGAAAAGAAAGTCCAGCTTCCCGAAGTCCCACTATACGGCCCCTATCAAACTCACTAAGTTGACGAAATCGTACAGGTCTCCGTACTCTAGGCATCGTAACCGATCGTAAAGGATGTCAAGAACCAAAATCCGCCAACGTTGATTCTTTACTGCGGCTGAAATATTCATTTTTAGAGCGTTAGTGAATTAAAAAAAAGCAGTATAAAAACCGGAATGTCCAACTGATAAGGCTGAAAATTTTTTCACTTGTTATTTACAGTAAGATAAATACATTCACCAACTTTTATTAAAATAAAACCATTTAAACTGGGTGTTCGGATTTATATGTCACTTAGTATACAATGTATGGTAGTTTGCTACATTTGTCGGTTAAACTCATAATTTCAATTGACTTTGGTGGTCCGTTGAGACTTGTGGTTGGCTCTGTACCGAGGCTTCTTGCCCTAAAAAATCGTCAGAATTATTCTGAGAATAAGCGCATTCATAATTGTCGTCATTTGGAAATTCTACAACAGGTTGGTCTTGTACACACAAGTTAAACATAGCCTGCGTTTTCACCAGGTCTGTTAAAATTTCTACCTTGAAAATTTGGTTGCTGATACGTCTGTCTAGTGGATGTACTCATCGGAGTAGGCCTTGGCAGATTATTGATCTGATTAGGTCTAAAAACTTTATTATTGTGAAAATTCGTTCTATTCTGATTAGGATTATTTGGTCGTACATTATTAGGACTAAATTGTCTTTGCAATACTGGACGCTGTACCGCTTGGTATTGATTCCTATAATTACCAAAGTTGTTGTTCATATGGCGAACTAATTAAATATTATTTCGGTTAACATTTTTATGTTTATCTACCTTATGATCAAGCTGAAAGTCGTTAGTTAATATATTCAGAGCTTCATTCAAGACTGTAGGATTTTTCGTCCTCATGAGCGATCCTAGAGGTTCCTTTAAACCTTTTAGAAATACTCTTAATGCTACGCTTTTGCAAAAATTACATACTATCTGAGCTTCTTCACTCACACAATGTGTAGTTAAAAATGATATTTGTAAATTCAATAAACTCTGAACTTTTTTATAAAATTCAAAGGGGGTTTCATTGTTCTGTTTCAATTCACACATTTCTATATTTAGAGTAAATACGTCACGCTTGTCTTGATATGTATTTAAAAGTGCAGTTTTCAAGTCTGTCAAATTTTTTATAATATTGCTACTAATATTTAAAGCTGCATTACCTTTGATTTTCGCTAAAATACTACTCATAAGATATTCGTTCTGGAAGTCATTTTCATCCTCTAATCTATAAAATTTATTCACTAACTTTTCTCAAATATCTATGAATCTTGGTAATAATTCTTGTTGACCATAAAATTCGGGTATCATGTTAAGATACTCTGGGCGTAATGACATGCATGACATCATATTGACTGTACTATTTAGTATACTAGGTCTTAATTGCAAATTCCTTAAACTATGTTGGATATGTTCCGTATCCGACTGTGAGTCCGAATCAGTGTCACTCAATGTATCATCAAATAGCTCTTGATTGTTTTCACCCCTGTAAAACATTCGTACTTACAGTAGTAATCCAATCCGTCCCATGTGTCCGTATGCCTGGGCCACTGCTGGGTTGCCTATCCTGGAGCAGATGTTCCTTCTGTCCTCTGGGCTGCTGTCTTCTTGGTTTCTCGATATGGGTAGGGTTCTACCCCAAATCTGGTTCCGGTGATCACGGTAACGATATCGATATTCCGTCGGATCCTTCGCGACCAATCGCGGTTGGTTTCGTTATAGCCAGCAAACCGTTGAAACGAACCGAAAATGTCCTTTTTCGTCTGGCTATCCTACTGCTTGCTGCGCCACTCAAATATCTTTCTTCAACGAAAACGTTTTTAAAAAAGATTTATTTTTGAGAAAAACCAAATACAACGATGTTAATTGAATGAGTTCTGAATCGAGACTGACTGCAAAGTGCATTATACAAACCAAAGTAAAGAACAAATGAAATAAAATACTGAAACTGATAATAAAGGAACGTGGAGGCAAAAGTCCTTGTTCAGCATATTCTTCTCTATAGACTGGTACATAACTTATATATATATATATATGTTATATGAACTCAAAACATTCCATACAATGTTGCACCAGACGCTAGCTCAGCAACAGATAACGACTTCTCGCTAACTCGTTGTTTACGCTTTATTTTCTAGAGGTGCTTTGTAAGCACACCAATAGTATAAATAGGCCTTGCGCCCATTTCATGTCGTTCAATACCCGGTTAGACTCCGTAAATGTCACATTTGTAAACCTTTGTATTTTATATGGACTGAAGGTTCAGTCCTCAAATAAAATTTTTTAAAAAGTTATTTCTAAATCTAATGATTTAAGAAATTGATGTCAGAAGTGGGATAGCTTCAACGCATTAGAACACGTGCATACTAACTAGTGTGGTGGATGCCTATCCTTTAAGCTGAAAAGGACCAACGAGCCTTAAGAAGAAAGAAACCTATTGAAGTAAGAAAACTACAAGTAAGAAACTACAAAGCAACAAGAAGAAAGAAAACAACAGGGGACACAGCGAGCAGCAGCCACCCAACTGCAGACAGACTACTGGAAACATCGCAAGAGATCCACTAGCCGCCTGGAGAACACGACTGCCTCCCGATGTACCCTTGGTAACGTACAATTTTAATCTAACTATTTTTTGCGATTTATCTCTGTGTGTGTGATTGTTACAACTTTTTATTTGCATTTTTGCGCATTTACTCTATATATTGTCGATTTTCACGTATTTTTCCCCATTTTTACGTATTTTTCTATTTTACATTTATATCTTTTTGCATTTTCCCTTGACATTATTGAATCTTTTTGAAACAACTTTCCATTTAAAATGTCTACTAACGGTTCAGATGATTACCAACCAGCTGAAATTCCTGATAACGTTCATGCGAACATTGAACCTTATAGATTATCTGAAATATTTTCGATTGTACCCGAGTACGATGGAAACCCGATATTGCTATCGACCTTCATCAACGCGTGCCGAACGGCGTATCAAATGGCCGTCGAGGAGCAGCGGCTTCTCGTCGTTTTACATATTAAAAACAAACTTCGTGGACGTGCCGCCGAACTTGTGAACAGCCGAAACCCTTCCACGTGGGAAGACATACGGTCCCTGTTAGAAACCCACTTTGGAGATCTTAGAGATCTCACATCTTTAATCGCGGATCTTCAACACATGCGCCAACTCCCCAACGAATCACCCCTAACCTTTGCATCTAGACTGCAGACGCATGCAGCCAAAATGCATTCCGCCGTAAATAGGCAAAATCTAAATCGCGAGCAAAAATCTGCTCAAAGTTCCCTCATCGAAACGATGACTTTAAATTGTCTATTAACAGGATTAGACTCAAAAATAGGACCTGTTGTGCGATCAGGACATCCCACGGATATCTTGACCGCAGTTTCGTATATCAAACGAGAGTTACAACTTTCATATTTGGAACGACAAAAATTCGCCAGGGCCCCAAACCCGAATCAAAATTCAGTTATTCGAAGACCAAACCCTAAAATTTGTAATTTTTGTAATCGTCCTGGTCACTTGGCAAATGAATGCCAACGGAGACAACAGCCTACAAGTTTTGCCCCAAGACTGTTTAACCAGCCCCAACCTCAAAATTACCCTAGGCCGAATCAACCTATGCAAGTTAGACCATCTACATCTAACCATCAAAATTCTAATCAATATCCTCCCAGACCATCTGTAATACGACCAAATGTGCCTAACTCGAGTGCGCCAAGACCCTCTGTAATTCAGAGCAATCCAAATTTTCAAAACCCTAATTTTCAAAGAAATTTTAGACAAAATCCTCCCAATCGAATTAATTATGTCGCCCCTGATTCTTACGATTATTCTGACTACGGTGAACCAGACCTATACAACACGGACTACGCTAATGAATATGACGATACCCAGTACTCCGCCTACACACCTTCCCCATACGATGATTTTAGAGAACCCAGTAACGATTATTGTTACGAATATAATCAAACCGCCGATACATTTGTTGACAACGCTTATTCGGACATACAATTCCAGGATTTTCGGACCAAGTGTTTGAAAGAGAAACCCCCTGCGGAACCCAACGACAGTACCGCAATAGTATGTGCGAACTTAGCGAATCTCAGTGTCGAGGACCCGAACGCGAAACCGTGTGCGAGCGTCAGCAACACATGCGATCAGATGTTCATATAAACCCTCCGTTTATAGTCCCGTCGACAATTCACCCAGTTAGCCCAGTCAACTTATATTACATTAAAGATGCTACTGGAAAATTCAAAATTCTCATTGACAGTGGTACAGGTTGCTCCATTTTCAAACGTAACACTTGTCAAAATTATACTAATCGTGTCGCAGAAAATATCTCTATCCGAGGTATTACTGACGAAAAAATTAGTATTACCGAAGCAGTCTTAGTCCCATTTGCTCCCAATGATTATCACAAAATTTATGTCCATGATCTAGATATTTCATTCGATGGCCTTCTTGGGTCAGATTTTCTTGAACATTATGATTGTATTATTGATTTGAAAAATCGTCAATTGATTACAAATTTCAAAACAGTCCCTCTTTTCAAAGTAGGTGACGAAAATAATTCCAAAGCTTCTCAATTTAAAGAAAAGTTCCAAGCTTCGCAATTTAAAGAAAATTCTCAAGTTCAAAATGTTATTTCCATTCCTCCCAGAGTTGAACAAGTTGTCAAGCTCAAATCCGAGCTTAGAAATACTGAAGCCATTCTTCTGGCGTGTGAGGTAGAAAAAGTCCGTCTACCCAGTTCCATAGTTAAAATTGATTCTAAAGGCGAATTCCTTACTACAGTATTAAACTGTAATGCCATTCCAAAAAATGTAATTTTACCCCAATTAACTTTCGAGCCCTTTAACGAAACTTCTATCAATAATTTCAACACTTCTTTACAAAATCAAAGTCAGTATAACCGTAGAGATGTTATTAGAGATCAATTACGTCTCGATCATCTCAACGAAGAGGAAAAAGATTTAATTACGAATCTTTGTTTAGATTTTTCGGACATATTCTATTTAGATGGTGATAGCCTGTCATTTACAAACGAAATTAAGCATTCCATTGATACCACTACCAGTAAACCAATTTTTACCAAATCCTACCGATACCCTTATGTCCACAAGCAAGAAGTCAAAGATCAAATTTCAAAATTACTAAAACAAGGTATTATCGAACCTAGCACATCGCCATGGAATTCTGCGGTGTGGGTTGTACCAAAGAAAATGGACGCCTCTGGTAAACAGAAATGGCGTATGGTGATTGACTATCGTAAGCTTAACGAAATCACCATCGATGATAAATATCCCCTGCCAAACATTTCCGATCTACTTGATCAATTAGGGAAATGCCAGTACTTTAGTACACTGGACTTGGCATCTGGATTTCATCAAATCGAGATAAATCCAGTTGATGTTCCTAAAACTGCATTTTCAGTTGAAAACGGACATTACCAATTCTTGAGGATGCCTTTTGGTCTCAAGAACGCTCCTGCCACGTTTCAACGTGTCATGGACAACATCTTGATGGGTTTACAAAACGAAAGATGTCTTGTATACATGGATGACATAATTGTCTATTCCCCCTCCATCCAAGAACACATCAGTAGGCTTACCGAAATTTTTACGCGTCTTCGGAAGTCGAATTTCAAAATCCAGCCTGATAAGTGCGAATTCCTCAGAAAGGAAGTAGCCTATCTTGGTCATGTAATAACCCCTGATGGCGTTAAGCCCAATCCAGATAAAGTGGATTGCATAAAAAATTTCCCTCAACCCAAGAATCCTAAAGAAATAGAATCTTTCTTAGGTCTTGCAGGTTACTACCGACGCTTTATACCAAACTTTGCCAAAATTGCGAAACCTCTTACCAGACTATTACAGAAAGACGCAGTATTTGACTTTGATAGCGAGTGTGTTAAGTCATTTGATACTTTAAAAAACGCTTTAACAACATCTCCTATACTGATCTACCCCAACTTTGAAGAGCCTTTTGTGTTTACAACAGACGCAAGCGCTTTTGCGATATCTGGCGTTCTTTCCCAAGGTCCCATAGGTAAAGATCTCCCGATAGCCTACGCATCTCGTACACTTTGTAAAGCAGAAACGAGATATTCCACCATTGAAAGAGAACTTCTAGCTATTGTCTGGAGTGTAAAACATTTTAGACCTTATTTGTATGGTCGAAAGTTTAAACTCGTAACAGACCATAGACCCCTTACGTGGCTTTTCTCTTGCCGAGACACCGGAAGTAGATTAGCAAGATGGCGCCTCAAGCTAGAGGAGTACGACTATGAAATAGTGTACAAGCCAGGCAAGGCTAACAAAAATGCCGATGCCCTATCACGTATCAAATTACCCAAAACTGTTAACGCCCTTACCCATAGTGACGAAGAAGGAGAACCTTCTACCCAATTTTCCGAAAGTGAATTTGATATCTTTGCCCGCCTTTACAAAACCACATCCCTGATCGATTATTCCAAAATTCAATTTTCAAATTCCCAACTCCTAGACAAAAGTCATAAACATATCGTCACGTTTTTCAGACAAAACACTCTATCTGATCTTCACGAAAAAATTATCGAAGACATATTCGAGGAAAATCTTGATTTTTCTGCAGATAAAATTAACATCGCGTCTAGCAAAACAATTAAAGATAGAAAATACTATATTATTCCTGTGCCATACGATCCCGTAACTTGCATACAGCATCATCATCGGGGTTAGATGGTGGAATAGCAGGTGCTAAATCTCGCCCCATGTAATGTACCATGTTTTTGGTCAATAAAGACGATTATTATTATTATTATTATTATTATTATCTTTTCTCTGTAATTTTAACCAACAAAGGTGTATTCGACCTATCCCAACAAATCTACGTTGAAAATAATTTGGACTTACCCATTTTAGAAATTTTCTCTTTTATTTTTTCGGATGATAATATCAAACTTGTCGTTTGCCAAAACGTCACCAAAACTCCTAGTCCCGATGAAATCCCCGTCATTTTAGATCAATACCATTGTGGTAAGAAAAACATTCATCGAGGAATTAATGAAACAATTAGGCGAATTCGTGAACGATATAATTGGCCCGGCTTAACTAAAGACGTTGAGCATTTCATCAAAAAGTGTGAAATCTGTCAAAAGACCAAAATTTGTCGTAAAAACCTCAGTGCCCCTTTTGTAGTAACTGAAACCCCTAAAGCCCCGTTCGAAAGAATCAACATTGACATTTTGGAAGTCCCACCTAAATGCTACGCGCTCACAATCCGAGACTAGCTAACAAAATTTTCTCAAGCCTATCCAATTAGCGACAAATCTGCAAAATCTGTAGTAAATACTCTACTTTTCTATTTCCAACATTATGGTACACCTCTCCGAATACACTGTGATTACGGAAAAGAATTTGACAACGCCCTCATGAAAGACCTTTGTAGTCTTTATGACATTAAATTAACTTTTTCCAGTGTCAGTCATCCCCAGTCCAATGGCTCGATTGAGCGATTTCACGCCACCTTATTGGAAATGATCAGATCCCATGTATCCGAAAATCCCGACGAACATCCCTTCAATATTCTTCCCTATGCTGTTCAGTGCTACAATAGCACTAGAAATAAAACTACTGGCTTTACACCATACGAGCTCGTGTTTGGCCACACCTCTGGTCGTCCGCCCGAACACGTATATTTAGAAAAAGAATTGATGTCCAAGTATGTTCGAGACATTCGGAATAAACTCGAATATTACTACAAAATTGCCCGCGTGACAACGGACGAACAGAAGCAAAAAGCAAAAATTCGCTTTGATCGTAGAGTGTCACCCAATTTACAATCATATAAAATTGGCGATAAAGTCTTTGTGAAACAGTCTCAAATTTCAAACAAGCTTCAGAACAAATTTGATGGTCCATTCGAAATTACTCAAGTTTTTGAAAATTCTGCGCTCCTTAAGAACCCGGAAACAAATAGAATAAGTAAAGTTAATTTTGACAGACTGAAACCATGTTTTGAGACTTAGTTTCTCTTTCAGGTGCAGTCTGCTGTTTTTTGCGGCTGTCACAGCCCAGATAGACATCAAACCGCTTAACAACACCTTAGGTATCTATTTTCATGAAGACGCCCCTCTTAAGATTTCCAACGAAATTTGGACACTCTTTGTATATAAAGAGTTAGAACTCATTAAGAAAGCACTTGACGATAACAACAATATTCTGGAACACTTATCATATCTCGTAGACAAACCCACCAATCGTATGAAAATGTTTAGTGGTGAAATTAAAACTCATACAAGTCTCCTTTATCAAATTTCTCGTTCCTTGGAATCTGAATATTAGGCGATCTTCGATG